TCCATCTTTTTTTTTTTTTTTTTCAATTGTTTATCTTTTATTCATACAGACAATGTTTTGGAAATTGAAAAGGCTTTTCTCTCTGAGACGGGCCATCTCTCCTCTCAGAGAAATGTTTTTCAGCAGACAAGGACCCAGGTGGAGTGGTTTGACTTCTGAAGCCTGTGTAATGATGCCGCTCTAAAAGGGACAGGGTGTTATCACTGGGCCTGTGCTAAATTGTTTCTATGAAATCAGTTTTACTCCATAAGGTCCACTGGGACAACCCAGCGGAGCGAGACAATCCATTTACATGACATGAAAATTGTGTGTTGGTTCAGTCCACTTCAATTCACAGCTATACTTAAGAGCTGAAAGGAAGCCTGTCGTCGGCAATGACGACCAACCAGAGATCCTTTCTGCTCGATAGACATTAGAGAGGTTTGCAAAGGGAAATTGTAATATTTGAATAGTACTTGTAGCAAATGCTAGTTATTTGTTGTATTATATAAAATGAATAGTTTGAAATTCTGTTACTTTTGTTTTTGTTGAGTCATGATAAGATCAATATGCATCTCATGTCTATTTGGTTTGAAAGTCTATAAAGATGGACGACGTGACCGCTCCCCAAAAGAGAAGCCAAAGAGTCTTGATCACCCTTTGGTGGCTGACTGCAGTATAGGTCACACGCGCTACCTCCTCCATGTTAGAAGATGGGACATGGACCATCATCAAATTATGAATCAAATACATTTTTCTCAAATACGGGTTCTGTCATCTGTCACACTGTTTGTTCAAGCCTTTTATTGGTTTCAGTTACTTATCTGATGCTATGTAAACGGATTGAAACATGAAGTACAGCTGAGACTGACAATCATCTGCGTGTGTGTATTGGTGGGACCTCGATACCGTAGCTTCATCAGCCAATCGTAGCCGGATTAACACATAAGATCTTGTTTATTCAACCCAAACAAAATCAGAAGTGTCATAAGAACAATTCAGACTCAATCAATAAAGTAATAGTAAAAAGGAAAGTAATTTTATACCAGGGCCTTTTGATTTTATTTAAAGCTACAACTTTGGATGTATCATAAATATGTGATATACATATGGGAGAATCTCACTGCTGCTGCGTGGTGGCGTCATGTGGCGTCTGTGTGGGATGTGGATCATCAGAGACATGGCGACAGAACTCAGACGCACTGACACGTGTATACATATGCACACTCACACACTCCCACACACTATATTTGGGGGCATGATTAATCATGGCATCTTTGGGAGTTTTAGAGGAGGTTCAGAAAAAACATTTCCGTTTTAAGCAGATTTTCCTATTCTCCCAGTGGTTTGGTCATCAGCATTATTACAGGATTTCTTCTTGTTTATCACTTCTTTACTATTGAGGCCTTAGCATCTTCCTCCCACTTCCTTACGCCTCTGAGGTGACAAAGAAGTCGCAACCCTCTTGTGGATAGTGTAATAGATCCAACAACACAGCCTGCTGAATCATCAGGTGATCCCATCAAACGTTTCCCCTGGCTCACACCGATGTTGCTTGTTTCCATTCGCAGGGACTGAATAATATCAGATGAGCTGTGTAACTCCCATAGGACGGAAAAATAATACTTGCGTGTCAGTGCTGAGGAACTACACTATAATACAAAAAACGCACACATTATACTTCCCTTGCTGATACCGTTACTGATATCTGATCTATGCGTAGCGACCAATGCCAATGCATTTAAAAAATAACTTGCATAGTTTATTTTGGCAGCTATATGCTACAAGCCCTCAATGGAAGTGATGATTGCTTTCATTGTTGTGTGGCCTGGCTCATGTTAAACGATTGAATTCAGAGCAGATGTGCCAAAGATCCTTTTATAATGTACTTTGACATTCATAACTGGAAAAAAGACACATATAAAGGAACGCACAACAATTACTACATAAATCGCTGTTAAAGTGCAGACTTTAGTTTTAATTTGCACAGTGATTTGTATAAAACAGTGCAACAGCAACTTCTAAACCAAATAAATCTAGGAATGAATTACAATTCCTTTAAAAAAGTAATTTCACATGCAGCAACTGTTGTTGAAACTGTCTTACATATGGCACACATTGCAGTTTTACTTGTAGGACATTCCAGTGAAAAATATTGCCGAAACTTGCCAGTTATAATACAACAGAAGTGCTGTTTCAGAGCGGTAAAGACAAAGACATTTCTGGGAAAAGAAAATTGCATTTTTATCTCGGGGAAAAAATAATTTTCAAACTTTATGGGTGTAGTATCCGATCAGTTCATAGATTAATTCACCCGCCGATGCACAAGCCAGTATTTTCAGCACTATCAGAGGCCTTTCCTCTGCTGGAATTGGAACATCTCTAATTTTCAGCCTTTCTGTCCTCCTCCAGAAACAGCACCAAAGATGCACATGAGCCAGGTTTTCAGTCACCTATAGCACAAGGCAAGGTTATATGAAATGCTGTAATTATTAGACAAACACATGTAACGCAAATAGGTTCATGGAATGTGTGGTCGATAATGACATGGCTTCAGGCTAAATAACAGAAGGGTGGGCTTCACTTGCTGCTGGCGCTGGTTTTGTGGTTGTGGACTTGATGATTCTGAGCAATTTCATGGAAAGTGAAGTCGGAGTAGTATCAGTAGAGAAAGAGTTTTTCAGAGGGATCCTCCTTGTCTTTGTTTTGCAGAGTTCTGGGACAGCCCGATGTCTTTTTCATGCACAGGCTGCAATTTATCCGCTTTTGTCGCCAGTTTTCATTATTTTTTTGGCTGGGTGTCTCTGTGGAGACGAGACAGCCAGCAGCCAGACTCCCCTCCATAGGAACACATGCAGTTAGAAAATAGAGCAGCTCGTTTTCTCTGCCAAAAACATATATATATATATATAATTATATAATATGATATAATTACCTATACACATGCATGCACAGTTGATAATGTAAGCTCACATATATAATGCATAAGAATTCACCACATGCAGTCATAGCCTACAATGTAACAAGTTAATATAACTAGTGCTTCAGAATTCTTCCTTCTCATCAGTGAGTCCTCCTCTAACAGTTCTGCAATATACAACAAGTCACATTTTTATCATCTGTGCGCTGGAGGTTGTGTGCAGAGGTTTTTATAAACAGTCTCTGGTGCAGAATGATGTTAGAAAACTTTATGTTCATCCTACCTGGTTTATCTGGAATGAAGATTTTAGCTTTATTACTGCACTCACATTTGTGGCTTATAAATATGTTTGAATGATGTGGTAAACTGATGTTATTTTATCATATGTTGCATATCAGCTATTTCAGAGATCTATTACGCAAGAGGCACAGTCTTCAGACCCACCATTGTGCTTTTACTTTGAAGATAAATTGGGAATTGAGGAAGTGATTCTAGATAGGCCCCCACAACTCCTGTAAATGCCAGTGTCAGTCCGATATGGTGAAATAAAGATAATAACATAATCAAAGTTATCTGAGAGGACAGATATTATTGGTCACCAGTTGCAGACAACTGCTGGAGTTTGTCTGAGAACATAATGGACATGTTAAGCTCGGTCCGCAGACTGAAGGCACACTGCTCCACCCCCGCTGACTGCTGCAAAGTATGTTTGTTCATATTTTATTTATATTGAACTTACCATGTGTCCAAAACTGGCACTGCATGTGCTCAGACAATTTACAATCCACATTTGAAGCTGATTAGATAAATGGTTGTTGAGATATGTGTTCCACTTCCAGGCAGACAGACGTTTGTGGAATTAGTAGGTAAATATTTCAAATTAGTATAATGATTTGGATCTTTTCCTTCAAACCGAATCCTTGTTGTTCCTGGCCAAAAGCGATACCAACTTCTCAGAAAGTCAAAATCTTTCTCTACATAAACCGGATTAACAAACTCAGACTAATGCTACAGTCACACGCAGAAAATAACAACTCCTTTTGCAGCCTTCATTCAAAGTGGAGCTTGTTTGCCGTGCCATTTTAAGTGTGTAGTCAATTCAGTTGTAGTGACACTGCGTCTGTGCCGCAGGGCCGAGCCACACCAGCTCTGTTCTATTAACCATGTCGTTTGTAATTGAAAATAAATTGAAAATTGTGCCTTCCCTAATGAAAGTTCCCTGGGTTCTTCAAAATATTTTACAACTGGAAGGCTCAAGACTCAAGAGTATTCTTTCGTTCTATAGGCCTATTTATTTATTTATGTATGTATTTCTTTCTTTCTTTCTTTCTCTCTTCTGTTCTGTCTGTGTTTCCTTCCATTTGTCTGTTTCTTTCTTTCTTTCTTTCTTTCTTTCTGTCTGTCTTTCTTTCTTTGTCCATCTCTTTCCTTTCCTATCCAGAAAACATTTGTCCAGCTGGTCTGGTTTTGTGCAGTACTTAAATTTATGTGTACGATAAACCAATAGTAGTCATGATACTATGCTGATGCAGTGACTAAAAACAACATGTAAATATTTGGATCAAATACGAAGAACCTGAGCTGCAGGTCCTTGTTTTAAAAATACACCAGTGGCTGTGAAGTGAGTTATTTAAAGCCTTAAACCTTCTGCTGGAGCAGACATCGACTCCCTGGTATTGATCACTAATCCTTGTGTATATACTGTGTTTTGCTCATTTTCTCCTGTGAGATGTTAATCATTGTGCCTGGTGCCCTTTTAGTTAAGAAAACATGACAGAAACAGGGTGAGACATGCTGTGAAATACATGGCATCTGAACTCTCACTTAATATTCTGACATTTTCTGGTTGTCTCACTCGGGGTCTGGCAGGAAAATCTCCAGAGTTCAGTGCGTGTCTGAAAGCAGCTTTGGTGTGAATTGCATGGGATCCTAAACAGCATGTCTCTTGTTTATGGGGATATCCGGATTTAGATCATTGACATAAGCAAACACAAACTAAATCAGTCAAAGACAAGTTAAAGCTTTTCTTTTCTCCCATGAAATGCTGTGTTTTTTCTCCAATGTACCAAATTCAGCACTCTCATTTCTCTCTCCGTCTCAGGGGTGAAGGCAGTCTTCTCCGGCCATTACCACCGAAACGCTGGAGGTTGCCACGGTGGCCTGGACATGGTCGTGAGCTCGGCCATCGGCTGCCAGCTCGGCGATGACACCCATGGCATCAGGGTGGTGGTGGTGACCGCAGACGGTGTCATCCATCGCTACCACAGCCTGGAGCAGCTAACGGCAGGAGGCATGGACGAGGACCTCAGGAAGCTCCTTCAGGCCTGATGAAGTGATAACCGGAACAGTTTGGCTTTGTTTCTTTCTCAATTAATGGTTTAATATGGATCTTACAGATTTTAGGCCCTGTCCTTAGGGGCATACGACCGGGTTTTTGGAGATTAGGCCGTTGGTCAAGACATGTCAGCAGATGAGAACACAATATATATAAATGTTGATTTTGACCAATGGCCCAGTCTACAAAAAAATCTGTGTAAGTAAAAAACTAACTTGTGACCCAGCAGTAAATTTAAGCTCATGAAGACGAGACCACATGCCAGCAAAACATTTTACAGAATCTTTTGATTGGGTTGACGTTCCCTCTTTTGAATGTTTTCCTTGGATTGTCACTCGGCAGAATGGATGTTACTATGTCTTCTCCCGCTGCCCTGACAGGGCCACACAAAGATCAGTGGAGGTGTTCTGAGACTGTTGGCTCTTCTGTGGAGAGGCTCTACCCTTCTGCACAGTCCACCTCTATCTGAAGTAACATTGCGCCCTCTCACACCCTGTCTATCTGCCCGTGTGTCCTGCCGTCCGTCTTTGTTGCCAGTGTAACTTTTAATGTATCCAACCTGTTCCATATTTAAAGGAAGAGTCCACCCTCCAGTTAGATCAGGGGCCTCAATTATAAAACAGTGCGATTTATAATAAAGTGTAAGCTGGCACAAAAGCCGGAAAATGAAATAAAACCGTGGCTAAGCACATCTGAAGGCAATGTTCCCTACCAATGGTCTTCTATGGTGAATCTCGGAATTAAGTGAGTGGTAACGTGTTGCTGCTTCGGTGAATGCAGAGAGTGAGAGTGAGTACGACAGAGAGGACAGAGCCAGAAATAAAAAAGTATCCCGTTAGAGAGGCAAAAAAACATTTACTTCTCACTGTCAGAGTGTCGGGGAACTTGTTGTATTACCTTTATGCATTTTAACAATTCCATTCCAAATGGCAGGCATTATTAAATTCAGAGACAGCTCTATCCCCAATCTATAAAATTCAACAAGATTATTTTATTCCCAAAAGGGGCTTTAAGGCGCACAGTGAATATTATAAAGTGTTACCTGTCAGTTAAGAGTGGTGAGTACTTGTTTTGGGATGGTTCAGTTTTGTCGTTCTTTCTGATACTGGACTCTGTTCAGCACAAAGATCTGAGATCACAGCTCTATAGAATCTATATCAGCTGATGAGTCATCATCATGGGACAAGAAATCTTTATGGTCAGTAAACACTTCCTCTTAATCCTTCCATTCACGAATACTCAGTGCCAGTACATTCATCACGCAGCATTACGCACGAGTGTCAGCGTAGTATTTATGTTGAATCGGGCCGATTACTTCACACATCAGTGGGATCATATCCTCCTCTCTTATTTGGAAACGAAAGCTTAAAGGTGAACGCAGTTTTTTTAATAAGCAGTCTCCAGCTCGCTCTGTGCACAATGTTCACAGCAGTGATTTATCACACTGTATGAAAACTAAAGTCGTACTTGGTGATACAGGCAGTGTGTGCCAAGTGTTTGAAGATATTAAAAACTCCCCACTGCTTTTTTTTGTTTTTTACAAATGAAGGATTTTTTAAATATTATTAAATTTAATTAGTTTGTTTAAATAGATCCCAACTTTTGTGTGAGAAGTGGCATATGCTCAAAATGGGGTCTGAAAGATGCGCACAAAATGGTTATAAGTGAGGCCCCAGAAGAGCTAGAGGAGGTGTGGACTCAATCCAGCTCTTCAGTGTTGAACGATTTTACCTCAATAATCCTGAAATATCCAGCTCCAATCATATTTGGCTTTAACAGGGGCACTGACTATTGGCATTGAAAAATAACATTGGTAAAACATGTTTAGGCAGACAGTTGTAAATGCTGAGTGTTTATGATGAGGCTCTGCATGGACAGCTGTGCAGTCAGGGAGCAGGATGGCCGCTGCATCGCCACAGGAAAGGAGAAACAGGAATTTTAATGAATGAGCTCGGATCGTACGTCCTCAGATGTTTAAACGCTTTATTTACTGCACATCGACACCGGTCCCCGATTAAAGACAGACAGAGAAAAGACACAACAGACCACAATGCAAAAACTAAATAAGATGCCTGTCTTTTATTTTTCAGTACCAATACCTGTTTCAATGCCAATGTTCTATTTGTAACTTCAGATTTTGAGGTCAATGCCAATATTTAGTGTCACTGTTCTAACCCTGTACGGTCAGTCTACTGCTGCTGCAGTGCTCTGCCTGGTTGGTCATCCTATGCAAGCTAGTCACACCATCACCGTGTGTGGTGTGTGTATTTTAATGTTTAGCTCGGTACATTGTTTGACTGAAAGATGTGGCGCTGACTCCTGACCTCTCATCCGAACTGTGAGCTGTTCGTCTGTAGCTTCTTACACAGCCCTGAGTTTAATGTCTAGCCTTGATAGTGCTGATGATACTCTTTGAATTTATGTTGACTAGAGATGTTATTCTTCAGCCATATAAATTAGCTTTAGTTTTTACTGATTTTGAAGTTACAATCCTTAAGATTTCACTCCTGGTTGAAGAAGAAATACACCTGATGCAATATTTAGAATTAAAAACGCTTCAAATGATCATTGTTGATTTATGCTAAAGCGACTGCCGGTTTTATCCTCCATGACAAACACATGACCTTTCCTCTGAGTGCATCACAATAAAAGCCACACCGTGTTTTGCCTGTTAATACCAAACACACAAACATAGGCCTGGTGTCCGGCTGATAAAATGGGATCTGTTGTGGAGAGCACAGTATCTCCTGACTATTTAGCCAGAGCTCAAACAGCTGAACTACCTGCAGAATTATTTTGGAACTCCCAGTCCTGAAATTGTCTTAAAAATGTCTTCAACAAAATGACTTTTCTTAGTGCGTCCTAAATGACTACTCCATTACACTTTCCACACACACACACACACACACACACACACACACACACACACACACACACACACACACACACACACACTCTCTCTCTCTCACATTCGCCCTGACCGACTGGGAATGTAAGAGAGTTGTCATGGCAACCCTTTAGCAACACATCTGAGTGCCGGGGAGAAAGTGTGCGAGTCCTCGTGTGTGCACACGTCCGTCCGTGATATTGTGTGTACCGTAGGTGATTTTCCATCAGCGACGCAATCGCTGACCTCATTTCACACTGACAGATTCTGTCCATTTTCCAAAAAATTCAGCATGTGATGAAGGGAGGGGGGAGGGGGGAGGGCGTCTGAGAGGAATGGATAATGAGTGTGATGTGTGAAAGACGACTCAGTCCATCTCCTTCATTTCCTGTCTGAGAAGGAACCTTATGTCCTCATCTATTTTTATATCCTCACAGTAGCCGAGCTCAGTCACATTGTTTTTATCTCTGTGTGTGCATTTATTTTAATCCTCACACACTTGACCTTTTCCTATCTTGAATTGTAATGAATTACCATACTGAACCCCATGACTGTGACACATCTGGCTGTATTTTTATAATAAATATTGATTTTATCTAATGACTCTGTCGCTGTGTTTGTTTGTCCTCTTTAGCACTTTGAAAGAACATAACTTGCACTGTCAGGAGGCTTCTTGTGCATCAGCACTCAGAAAAAGAGTGAAGTCGCTGTGCGTGTTTTACATCTGATACTTACGTCAGGGGGGTGAGGTTAACTAATGCTCTTAGATGTGGAACTACAGTCCCCATAATGCCTTGGGGGATGCAAACAGGAGAAATACTCTGTCAGTGAGTTATATTGAGAGTTATAACTTGAGCCCTGTTACTTTTAAGCTATTTCGTTTATATTCTGACAAGACGGCAGAAATACAAGTCTGCAGATTTAGGTACAAATGAATGAAGTTTGTTCATATCAAAGTTAATAAGTAATAACTGATGACAACTCTGACATGTATCCATCAATTTGAAGTTCATTCTTTTTTAAACGTTAGTACCAGAATCAGTTTGTATAACAGAAAGCAAAAAACAGACTTTATGAAACCAGAGCGGATGATGAGATGTGGCATTTTAATATGAAAATATCCCATCGTTCATTTTCAGCTGCAATTCAAACCTGCTGCATATCGTATTCATATTTTCTCCTCTCTGTCTGTGTGAAAGCAGAGATTAGCTGACTCCAGAGCAGCCCAGTGGGGAGTGAGCAGGTGGGGATTGATAGCTTGTGGACTCTGCAGTTGAGCAAAGGGCTGTTATTGACAGATTGAATGCTGATGTGACAGTGATTTATTCACAAACTCACACGTTTAGAGCTGTTCTGCTCTGAAACAGGTTTAAAGGTCCAGTGTGTAAGATATTTATTCAGCTGCAACCTGCAACTTCACCACCAGATGTGACTAAATTCTTCACACTGAACGTTTAAAGCGATAAATGGAAATTCACTCATTATCTACTCACCACTATGCAGTCCACAAAACACTTTTGGAGTTCCCGGGGTAAACAGTGTTGCAGCCAAATCCAATACAATTAGAGTAACTGGGGATTCCTTCTTAAAACGCACCTGTGGTGTTATCCAAAACCCCAACAATCAAATTCAACTTGAAACATGAGTTACACTGTTTTAAGCCGAAATGTCCTCTGATATCCAGAGGCACATTCAGGTGTGGATCACAGGGGACATTCAGGCTTAAACACAGTGTAACTCACAACGTTTAGAGTCAAATTTAATTGTTGGGGCTTTGGATAACACCACAGGTGCCTTTTAAATTCAAATTTGACAAGTGTTCCTTACTTTAATATATTGGATTCGTGGGTAAAGTGTTTTGTGGACTCAAACACCCCTCCATCGGCATAGTGGTGAGTAGATTTTCATTTTTGTGTTGAACTATCCCCAAATTCTTATCTTGGTGGCAGCTGTTGCAGCAGTTCTTCAAACTGAAACGTCCTGAAGCAGCTGTGGAACCTGAACCAAGCAGTGAAACTCACCTAGTTCTCCCATCTTTGTAAGTATTGGGTGTTCCCAGGTAATCTGTCTTTTTTTTTTTTTAATGAGCATCTGGTCATCATAGCTTGATGTTATTCTCTCTTTCCCGAGGCACAATTGCTTTTCTATGCTTCCCTGTTTTTGCTAAATCCTGTGCAGTTAATCTTAACAGTCAAGTGCCTTGAAATCTGCTTCCTTTATTCCTTAATTATTTGCCATTTCGTTTCCTTTCTCCTTTCTCTGTTGATGTGCACAGACCTTTAGTCCTGTATTTTGTTGCTGCAGAATTGTGATGATTAGTGCCATTTCACTGAGAGACCATGACATCTCATTTTTCGTCAAATTATCAATATTAAAATAAAAAAGTGGTCACAAGATTTCTGGACAGACATGAGGTGACCTTTGCTCCCTGTTCTCACTCCTGCAGGAGACTTATTCTACCATGGCAGATGAAAGCTACTTCCTGTTTATTGATCCAGAACGCTGTCACAGTGTCCTTCAGTGCTCCCAGACATAAAAGTACCGACACACACACACTCTGAAACACACAAGCCTCTCTACAACACTTTCATTTGCTGCCAGGGTGTAAAATCCACAACACTGATGTTTTTCCTCGGCGTTTTTCCTCATACACAAGCGCACTTCAAGCACATGTGGGAGACGGGGGTCACAGATCGGCAGCTTTTAAACACACATGAGAGGCCTGTGTGCAGCTTGATGGCATGAAGGGGATGTTAGCATTTCAGAAATGAGCTGGTTAAAATCACCAGAGACACAAACAAGTACTTTTTTTTATGTTCGCTCGACTGTTTTGGCTCCTGGAGGACGAGGACTTGTGGTTACACTGTGGAGAAGCAGCAGCAGTCATCAGATATTCTCGGCTGGTTTCAGAGGAAGAGTTGGGGTAAAGCAACTAGTGCAAAAAGCAGAGGTGAACAGCACCCTTCAAAGTTTTCAAACTCACAATAATGACAGCGCAGGCACCTCCTGTTGTTGCAAAATCATTTCACAATTCTAATCTTCTGCAGTACAATGCCTGAGGACTAAAATCCACTTTTTGTTTGGTTCACTCAAATTACTTTATGCCAGTCTGGAAGGACTCACAGTAAATGGGAGATTTATGCCATAAACAATGACACCACTGAGAGCTTTATCAAAAAATTATACCCAAACTCAGAATTGCTTTCTAAACGGATTTGTGTAGTTATGGCATAATTCTGTGATATGATTATCAGCTTAAGTGGAAGGGTTTGCTTGAATTGAATGTCATTGTGGCCGCTCTGCTCCCAAGACGTTACAGTGTTTATTATGAAGCAGTAAATCTCAATACATAGTAACCTCAGTTAGAAAACCCTGGGGTAAGCTTTAATGAATTCAGGTGGAGACACTAGCTGCCATATGTGCCGGTATGTAACTAACTATGACGGAGTATTAGGGCCAATTAATGATGGAAAAAATCGGAGATTTTGAGAATAAAGTCGTGATATTACGAGAACTAACTTATAAAGTGTACACCTTCACCAAGGCTCAACAGTCCCCTCATGAAACCACATTTAAAGTCACTGTCTGGATCGAGATCCATGAATTATTCTCTGAGAAATCAACAAAACTTGTTGTTTTTTTTTGTTGAAGTTTGATGGTAATCCGTCCAGTAGTTTCTGCATAATCCTACTAACTAACTAACTAACTAACTAACTAACTAACAAACAAACGCTGATGAAAACATTGGCGGAGGTAATAAAGTCACAGTTGTAGGTATGTATGTCCTTTTAGAGGGGAAATAGAAGATTTTAGATGATGTGTTAAAATGAGGAATGAGGAGCATCTTGTTCAATTTTACTTTAGTATTATAGTTAATAAATGAATAATCAAAACTTTGAAAAGATTGCTACTGCTGTGGAATATTGGTGAAAGCTGTTCTAAAATGCTTAGAGAATTTTAAACCTGTACACATTTTATGCCAACTGGGCAAACACTGTCTCCTGAGTGCATGATCGAACGTTTAACGATCGAGCTACTAAATGAACCTTAATGATAGACTGTTTATTCAATGTTTTTTTTAACATAAAAGCAGAATCTATTTGTAAAATATCACCAGAGAAAGTTTCAAATCAGCCTAAATGACCAGATACTGTTAACGTCTATCACATGTAATGCAACAAATACAAAATGTATGTACAAGTACAATAACACACATATAGGCACATACAGTTCTCACACACACACATTGGGCCAGGCTCCAGTGCCACCACCCCTTCATTTCACCACACAGTCCACAGGTGTTGGGGGGGAAGCAAATGAAAGTTGGCGTATCCGATCATGGCCTGACGTCAGGGTGCCACCCCTCCTGGCTGCGGGCCCGCTGACATAGCAAGCCATCTGGGCAGCGGAGAGCCGGCGACAGGCCCATCCATCGCTGTGCCCTGTCCTCCGGGCTCGCAGCCAGCGAGACAGACTGGGAGAGCTGGCGGGGATCAGCGCTCCTCGCTCGCTCGCCAATCTGGAGCATGTTTTGATGATTCTAGCATTCAGTGAGGTCAGAAATACCCATGATTCACTGTATTTGATGCACTGGGATGGTTTCAGCCACGTTGATTGACTGGTCACAGATGTATCCCAACTGTTGCATTAATAATACAAATAATACGATATAAATATGTATTTTTTACTGTCTCGCCAGATTATAAAAAATGGTTGTAATATCACTATATGTTCTTTCACGAACCCGTAATCTGAAGTCAATGCAGCATCGAAACCAATGAAAACCAATGGATTCATAAATTCAGAATCTGAATCTTTTGTCTCCTTCTTTCTCCAACATTTTATCTCCATCACACCCAACAATCACAGCAATAAATCTGTGAGGGAGACACTGCTAATGGGGGGACTGACGCAGCAGTGACTGCGAAAGACATGAAGGAGGGTTTAAATACCTTTCGGCTATAGGTTAATAATGGTTCACAGAGAATTTCCTGCACATAACTTAGTGAGTTCACTGGTTATAATTAGTAGGTGGAGACCGTGTGTGATGAGAAAATTAAAATGGTAATTGTTCCTGCCTGAACTAAGTCTCATCTTGCTCATTTGAATTCTGGAGGAACATTTTTTTTAGCTAAAATGTCACACTTGATCTAGTCCAGCACCATATTCAAGAAATGAAGCATCCATCCTCCTTGAGTGTCTTTGAGCAATATATTGAAAATGTCTCTGATATGTTAAGGATCAATTTCACCTGTGAAACATTTTTCACGTTGTGAGCAGCAAGATGTCAGTCGGTCCTCCACGTTGGTCCAACTGAAATATCTCATGAATACTAAGGTTTCCTGAAAGTGAAGCGCTTCTCCACTTTCTCCCACTATTCAGAAAAAAAGCAAAAAATATCCCACATGCTGCAATTCTGCCGCAGTGGTGAACGCTGAATGGAACCATTGAAGCAAGGTCCAATCAATACACAGGCTCAACCAATCATGAGATTTAAATCATCAAGTTTAATTAAAACCAAACGTACTTGCCTTTCCCTTCCATTAGCAGGGTCTCCCCTATAGATTTATTATTACCAGCAGCTGTGGGGCCTGTCAGAT